CTCTCTCTCTCAAAAATAAACATTAAAAAAATAAAAAAATATATATATTTAGCTTTTAGTGTCTGCCAAGCACTTTGTATACAATATCTCCTGCCTTCCTCATAATAATTGGGGCTGAGATTATCTCCTCCTTACAAGTGAGGGCAGTGAAGCTCAGAGAGGTCAAGCACTTATCTAAAGTCACGCAGCTTGTGGTGGAACCTGGAGATGAGCTAACTCCAATGTTTGGTCCTGTTGACCGAAGGGCAGCTTATATACTCAACTTCCCATCATAGTCTATAAAGCACTGTGCCCATGAGAGGGGATTGGGGTGACTAGAGGGTCCCCTCCCCTGCTCTAGTCACTGGGCTTTTCTTGGACCAAAGAGCCACATCTCAAGTTCCCCATGCTCACAACATAGTACCTATCACCCCACACAAGCACATACATGCAGAGGTGTTGAGCACCTAAAGTGGATAAGTACAAAGGGGACAGATAAGAACTCTAGAATGGGAAAGGAGTCCAGGGAAAGTTCTTTCTGGTTGGCCAACCATGCTCAGACCCCAGCAGAACACCACTCCAGGCTGAGAGGCTGGGCCTACAGGAAGGCTAAGGACTTCTGGGGGGGTGGGGGGGAGGGAGGAATGGTGCCGGGGGAGGTATTCAAGGATTTGAGTAAGTGCTCAGATACAGCCTGACCTAACCCAGACACAGTGCCCTATATCATGGCCCAGGGTGCTGGTCTGGCCCACACAGGCAGGCATGTGAAGTGTCTAATGCCGGATTATTACTGTGATTCCAATCCTTATTGCTACATGGTAATTACCCCTTATACACATTGAGCACTTTGCAGTCTGCAAAGAGCTGTCACATATAAAGATGCCATTCTGTAACTATAAAATAGCAAAAATTGTGGTGAAAATACAGTCATTCTTTGATGAATGTTATGGCCTTTTTGGAGGGCAGTAAAGTGATGTGTATCAGAAGCTGAAAGATGTTCATACTCTTTGATCCTATAGAAATATACCCAGGAATTTATGCTAAAGAAACAATCAGAAATGAACAGAAGCATTTTTGTAGAAGGCTGTTCATTGCATGTGGCCTGTTTTACAATGGAAAAAAATTTGAGCAGCAAGCTAACTGTCCAAAAACAGGGAACTGGTTAAATAAAATACAGGATATCTATAAATAGAAAACCTTACAAGATGTTTCTGCAGACAGAACCTATCTGTGAAGTTAGGTGTCAGAAGAGCAGTCACCCATTGGGGTAGTGACTAGAAGAGCAAAGGGAGGTCTGTGGGTGTGGATGACATGGTGTATTCCATTAAAAAAAAACAAACTTTTTTTTAATGTTTTATTTATTTTTGAGAGAGATAGGGCATGAGTGGGGGGGTGGGGAGGGGAGCAGAGAGAGAGAGAGAGACACACAGAATCCGAAGCAGGCTCCAGGCTCTGAGCTGTCAGCACAGAGCCCGACACGGCGCTTGAACTCACGAACCGCGAGATCATGACCTGAGCCGAAGTTGGACACTTAACCAACTAAGCCACCCAGGCGCCCCTGGTGTATTCCATTTTTGGAAATTCTTTATTTTTTAATGTTTATTTATTTTTTAAGAGAGAGAGAGAGCAGGGGAGGGGCAGAGAGAGAGGGAGACACAGAATCTGAAGCAGGCTCCAGGCTCTGAGCTGTCAGCACAGAACCTGATGCGGAGCTCGAACTCACAAACCGCGAGATCATGACCTGAGCCAAAGTTAGATGCTTAACTGACTGAGCCACCCAGGTACCCCTGTGTATTCCATTTTTGAAAATTTATCAAGTAGTATACATAATTTGTTGACTTTTCTCTGCACACATATGCCAATAACATGTTTTTAAAGGATATCTTTGAAGAACGTTTAATGCTCAGAAAATGTTATATAAGATACAGAGGGGACTATACAAACACCTGTATATATTATAGAAAAAAATAAGAGGTGAATACACTAAAATATTAACACTAGTTTTCTCTCTGGGTGGTAGGTTTATGGGAGATTTTATTTATCATTGTATTTTTTCTTTATAGCTACTTACGTTTTTCTAAATTCTTGAAATCTGTAATACTTTATAATGATATACAATGACATTTCACGTATATTACCTTTACCTAATGCCCACAACAACCCTATGAGGTGGGCACAATTCTTATTTTTATAGGGTTCAGAAAAGAGCTGCCCCCAAGCACACAGCTAGTAAGGAGTACAGCTGAATCCAAGCTTCGGACATTTTCTATTTCAACCTCCCAGATCTGGCTGGACAGCTGGGAAAGGACAAGGCTGAGATAATGTGATTGATCCCCACTGAAAGTGCTGCCGTGCAGGCTGCATGGGGGCAGGGAGACCACTTTGGGAAGGGGTGGAGGACAGACAGGATGGATGCAGGGGGCTTCCAGAAATCAGAGGAAGCCTCCTGAGTGGTGGAGCCTCACTCAGCAAGCTTTCTCCTGAAAACTGGGTGCTTTCCCATCTCCTTCCTCTGATTTCCTCCCACTCAGACTATTATCTGGCCAGGAGTCTGTCACCTGCCAAATCAGACGGGCTGTGTTAAACCAGAGGGTAGGGGTGTGACTCACCTACCCTCAGGCTGAGCTCCCTGGCCTGCTCCTGGCTAAGCCATGTGATGGGCCTGAACAAGGCTCGGCCTGCCTGGCTGAGGGGCGGCAGGAGAAGGGTTCAGGAAGCCAGAGAGGAAACTCACACAAGGCCGGAGAGACTCAGGCCTGGCTCACCAGGACTGCAGATGCTGCACTCAGGCCCTTTCCCATTCTGCAGCCGCACCCTTGGCCTGCCCCAACCCCTCACCACCCCCTACATGCACAGAGCCATTCAGGATCCCAAAGAACTGGTATCAGTTTCAGGGAGTCCTTTAGTAGAGATCAGGAGAGAAGTGCAAGATGGTAAATGGACACACACTAAGGCACCTCAGAAGACCGTTCTGGCCCGGCATCCACGGAGGTCCTGCGCCCACGACCACATGCCCGGGTCCCCATGGGTCCACATGCCCGGGGCCCAGTGGTGGCTCAGCAGTGAACACTTATCAGGTTTCTAGACCAATCAGAGCTATTACATATATTTGGCTAACAGAATCCAGATAGGTACAGAAGCCACTGGCACCAAATCTGACATAAAATTCACTGATTATTCATCTAAATGATGAACAACTGCAACCACATCAGAAGCACCACATCATAATAATCAGTCCTCCTGTGTGGATAGTATTTAACTTTTCCAAGCACATCCGCGTGCAGTATCTCCCACAAGGACGGAGGGCTTGATTATGAAAAGAGGCTTGAAGAGATGAAGACAACCTTCTAAGGCTGCAGTTTCCTAGACTAGAAACCAGGTCTGACTCCTAGCGCAGTGCTCTCCCCAAAATGTAAAATAGCTCCCACGGGAGAAGAGGAGAGGCACTGAGGGAAGTGACGGTAAGGAGAACGGCATCAGCCGATACTGGGTGTAGGTCCCTCCACCTTGCCCAGGGGTACTCACCCCAGGAGCTTGCTGTGGTCCAGCTGGTGGCTCGGGGGCATTCGGCAGGCACTAAACACGATGATCTTCCGCCCATACTTGTCGTCTCCTAGGTGTGGAGAAAGATGGAGCACAGTGGGTGGCAGATCAGCCGAGAGGACTGAAAGGTGCCGGGCCTGGAGACCTGTACCACATAGTGCAGGGGCCAGAGGGGCTAACGCAGACATACCTCTGGGCAGCTGTCTGCACTCAAGGGTGTGTCACTGAAGAAAGAGGGACGGGTTGCTCGCAGGGCTACTGAGCTGGGGTCTAAAAAAATAACAGCTTTTTAAAAAGTCACACCTGGTGGAAACACCCAAATGCCCATCAACGCATGAACGCATGAAGAAAATGTGGTATATCCATGCAGCGGATATGTCGTTTGGCCATAAAAAGGAATGAAGTACTGATCCATGCTACATTATGAATGAACCTTGAGAACATGATGCTAAGTGAAAGAAGTCAGATGCAAATGCCTCCATATTGTACGACTCCACTTATCTGAGTTATCTAGAATAGGGAAATCCGGGGCGCCTAGGTGGCTCAGTCAATTAAGTGTCCAACTTCGGCTCAGGTTCATGATTCTCACAGCTTGTGGGTTTGAGCCCCATGTCAGGCTCTGTGCCGACAGCTCAGAGCCTGAAGCCTGCTTTAGATTCTGTGTCTCCCTCTCTGCCCCTCCCCCATTCACACTCTGCGTCTCTCTTTCAAAAATAAATAAAAGGTTAAAAAAAAGATGTTATGCATCCCAATGTTTATAGCAGAACTATCAACAATAGCCAAAGTATGGAAAGAGCCCAAATGTCCATGTCATACTCTCCATAATCCATCGATGGATGGATGAATGGATAAAGAAGACGTAGTATATACATACAATGGAGTATTACTCGGCAATCAAAAAGAATGAAATCTTGCCATTTGCAACTATGTGTATGGAACTAGAGGGTATTATGCTAAGCAAAATTAGTCAATCACAGAAAGATAAATATCAAATGACTTCACTCATATGAGGACTTTAAGACACAGAACAGATGAACATAAGGGAAAGGAAGCAAAAATAATATAAAAACAGGGAGGAGACAAAACATAAGAGACTCTTAAATACAGAGAACAGAGGATTACTGGAGGGGTTGTGGGAGGGAGGATGGGCTAAATGGGTAAGGGGCATTAAGGAATCTATTCGTGAAATCATTGTTGCACTGTATGCTAATTTGGATGTAAATTAAAAAAAATAAAATAAAAATAAAGTGAGAAAAAAAGATGTTAGAATAAGTAAATCCACATAAACAAAGCAAACTGGTGGTTGTCAGTTGCTGGGAAGAGGGGAGATTAGGGATTGGCTCTTTATGGTTATAGGATTTAGAATGGGTATGGATGAAATTGTGGGACTAGACAGAGGTGGTGGTTGTACAACATTGTGAATGTGCTCAGCACCACCAACTGTAGGGGTGCCTGAGTGGCTCAGTTGGTTAAGCAACGGACTCTTGATATTGGCTCAGGTCATGATCTTGAGGTTCGTGGGATCAAGTCCCGTGTCAGGCTCTGCACTGATAGCACACAGCCTGCTTGGGATTCTCTCTCTGCCCCTGCCCTGCTCACACTCTCTCAAAATAAGTAAATAAATAAGCATTAAAAACAAAAAACCAATTACATACTTTAAAATTGTTAATTTTGGGGCGCCTGGGTGGCGCAGTCGGTTAAGCGTCCGACTTCAGCCAGGTCACGATCTCGCGGTCCGTGAGTTCGAGCCCCGCGTCAGGCTCTGGGCTGATGGCTCGGAGCCTGGAGCCTGTTTCCGATTCTGTGTCTCCCTCTCTCTCTGCCCCTCCCCCGTTCATGCTCTGTCTCTCTCTGTCCCAAAAATAAATAAAAACGTTGAAAAAAAAATTTTTAAATGGTTAATTTTGTTATTTAAATGTCACCTTAACTTAAAAAAACTGAAAGTCATGCCCATCAAAGCAACTGCTATCTAGCAAGTTATCTTAAAAGCTGATGCTTATTCCAGAAGTGCCCTCTCTGAGCAGCGTATTTGGAAGACTTCTTGAAACTACCTTCTGAGCAAGTCCAAGGCCACTGAGGAAATGGGTGTGATTACTTAATGGTCCAGCCTCATCTTTGACCACTATCACATTTTCTGATTTTATTACTAGAATTATTAACCACACTTGGCTCTGACTCCTAGACATTCCTAAAAATCATACCCCTTCTCATTAAGGATATTATTTTTTTAACTATTTATTTATTCGGGGGAGAGTGCAAGCAGGGGAGGGGCAGAGAGAGAGGAACAGAGGATTTGAAGTGGGCTCTGTGCTGACAGGCTGACAACAGTGAGCCTGATGTGGGGCTCAAACTTACAAACCACGAGATCATGACTTGAGCTGAAGTCAGACGCTTAACCAACTGAGCCACCCACATGTCCCTCTCATTAAGGATATTCTAAAGAACATGGAGTTCAGAGGAGTTTGAAATGCTTTGCAAGAATGCTCATTTGGCAGTAATCACTGGGGTGTTTGCCCCAAACCGGTCACTATTTGATGGTCTAATCTGGCTTTGTCAAGAAGCTGGGCAGCTTTTGAGGTGCCTGGGTGGCTTAGTCAGTTGAGCATCCGACTTCAGCTCAGGTCATGATCTCGCAGTTCGTGAGTCCAAGCCCCACGCCAGGCTGTGTGCTGACAGCTCAGAGCCTGGAGCCTGCTTCAGATTCTGTGTCTCTCTCTCTGCCCCTTCCCTGCTCATGCTCTGTCTGTCTCTCTCTCTCTAAGACAAATAAACACTAAAAGAAGCAGCAGCAGAAGCAGCAGCAGCAGGGCAGCTTTTGACACATCTCCTACTGCCCTCCAAGGTGAGATGCTCTTGCAGGGTCAGCACAGCACTCACCCCAAACAAAGCTCAATGAGGACAAGGCCTGGTCCTCACTGCCCCATGTCCCAGGGACCTTCCCTACATCTTTTCCTTCACAACCCTGCAGAGACACCAAACCACAACTGCCTAATCCCCATTGCTTCAGGGGCAAATGAGAAGACTACTTACACAACCCATGAAACACATTGCATCTGTCCTCCACCTACCTCTGAGGATTAAGGAACCCTCCCCCCCTGCCCCCCGGCCCCATGCCTTGCTGACTGCCCTTCTCCATATTTAGTAAGCCATGATCTTGATGCTTCTTCTCGGTCAGTGACCTAACCCAGGAGTCAGTGCTTTTCCGAAGTGGTTGCCAAGGCTCTGACCCTTTTCTCCAGGGCTGGGACAAGACTCAGAGGGGCTGAAGGAGGCTTCTGGAATGTGGGCAGCATGGCCCCAGGCCCTGCTGGCTGCATGGCTTGGTGCTTTGGCCTAATTTAGCACCTCACTCCCAGCTGTCTACCATATCCAACTTCTAGATCAGCCCCTTCTTTGGAATGACTCACAGGATTCTCCAGGCTCAGACACTTTCAACACAGACATGCTTGCAACTCAGTCCACATCAGGCAGCTTTGGGACACTGCTGTTTCTTTTGCCAGACAGAACTTCCTTGAGACAATTCCGCTCCCCTCCTCCAGGCTAACTCCTTGGAATCCTTAAGACTCTTTCCAGAAGACTTTGTCCTCTCCTCCTTCCCTGAGACAGGTTAGCTGTTCCTCTGCCGTGATACTTTGACTCTTCTGTATAATTGTTTATGTGCTTGTCTCCTCTACTGGCTTGTGAGCAGGAGCCATGGCTCATCCATCTTTGAAACTCCAGTGCTGGTCCAGAGCCCAGCATGTGGCAGATATTCAAGAAACGTTGGAAGCCTGCATAAAGTCATAGGTCAGCATTACGTGGTATGCATGGTTCTATTTTGGAATTTGTTCATGATGATATCTAGGTTACAAGATTGCTTTAGACGGTTTCCTGGACAGAGTTTCTCCAAACTTATAAGCAGAGAGCCCTCTGCAAGCCTGTCTGAGGAGAAGGTGCAGCCTCATCTCATCCAGCAACAGGTCTACTTTGCAAGACCACCTGCTGTCATACCCTAGCCCAGATCCCGAGGTACTGGGTTCCCTCCAGTCCAGTGGGGGCTGGCTCTCAGGCCTGTTCCAATCCCTTCCCATAGACTGACAGAAGAAGCAAGAGCAAAGTGGTAGGGCAGGGACAAAGGATCAGCCTGGCTGATCCAGCCTCATCTACAATCTGGAACCTCTGCCATGAGCATGTGAGGGGCGGGACATCTGCCTATTCCCCTCTAAGCAGAGGAAAGGCCTGGAATGTAGAGGAAAATGCAAGGAGGAGCATGGAGGTTCCAAAAGATTCTTTTCATCCTGCCACCACCATCCCCCACCCCCCCGACTGACTGATGCAGCCCTCATTGGTTGGCAAATATAGGGACTTTGGCGGGAGAGGGACAGGACTTCTGAGCTCACAGGGCTCTGGAATTTAAAGAGATAGTCACTGGTTAAGCAAACAATTGAGGTGAGGGGCCAGGGGCCTGTGGCTCCATCATGGCTGGCCTTGTCAACACCTTGTAAATGGGAAACTTTGGGTTCTCAACGACGGCTCCACCAATGGGCATCTACCAAGGCCAAGATGTGATATGAAAAATATTACAAACACATGCACATGTTCCCTAGGAGAAGAGGTCCACATCACTCATATTCTTAAAGAGGGCTCTGGCCAGTTCTAAGAACGACTTCACTGGACTGTGTGCTCCTTGAAGGAGGTGATGTGTGTTTTTCCTCACTGAATCCTCAGTGCTGACTACAGGGCTTGTTCCAGAGTAGGTGTTCTACAAATGCATGTTGAATGAAGTCAGAATGGGGATGGGGCAAAAGGGGGATCGGTGAGGGGCTGCAAGGCAAGACTCTCAGACAAGCAAGAATGAGATGTGGGTGACCCCAGGGTCTAGCCCCTGTCCTCCCTTCCCTGGGGTTAAGTCCCATTGCTCAATCCCTTGGGTGGCTTGGCATTTGCCAGCAGAGAGGGCAACTGCCGCTACAAGAACTTTACTCCTGCTCTCAGAAGAGAACAGACTTCTGCCCTGGAGACTGCAGGGGGAGAAGGAGTCTGGTGTCTCCAGGGCACTGGGGGTGAGGACTCAATGAGAAGACACAGAGACTGTGTAAAGCACCAGGAAAAGAGGAGCGGCCTGAGAAGGGAGACTCTGCATTCCCCAGATCCCGATCAGGAATGTGCCCAGGCTATCAATCAGCAACAGTGCAGTCCTCTAGCAGGCATTCTGGGAACCGCCAGACCAGCTACCACCCACCCGCAACCTGCAGAGCAGGCCAAGGAGTTGGGAGGTGGGGGCTGGGGCACTGTGCTGGGGCCGGCTCACAGGTTTGTTAAACTGTTAAATGATGAGGATACTGTAGCCAGTTGACATCATGTTGGTGCTTGAAATCTGCTGTGGTCGAAATTGCAAATGCTACAAATAAATAATAGCCTTCCCCTCCACCCCCACCCCGCCTTCCCAGAGAGCCAACTGATAAACGTTTATCAGCACACCACTGGAAAGAACCACCTGGACGGAGTCAAATTTGACTGTGGAGAATGACAGCTACTACCAGCTCGGAGAACACAGGCTGCAGAGGAGATGGGGACAGAATCCATCCTCCGTTCCAACACAGGCTCTTTCTCCAGTTTCTAATGCCAGGAAACTGGCCTCCCAGGACATCATCGTGGTCTCATCAAATGACTCCTGCTCTGGTGGTACCAATCCAAATTCTTCTCAGCAGTTAGAGAGGCACACCCTTGGGGGCACCCCCACCAGAGGGGCCTTGAGCCAGCCCTAAGGCCAGGCCATTGCTCACAGCCAGCCTCCTGCCCCCAGGGACGTGGGCCCTCCCTCCCCAGAAGCCCCTTTCCCTTTGGGCTCCGGATGTGTCCCCACATGGCACCACCCTATCAAACCTCCTGTAAACCTTTTGCTATTTCCGGCTCCCAGGTACCGCCAGCTCCCAGCTCCCTGAAGTGGGGCTGCAATTAAGCTGGCCCCCCCTGGCTTCCACCAAGAGCCCTTCTTGATCCACAGCCCAGAGGCCAAGCACAGAGAGCCAGGAACACACCTACCTGGCTGGGCCCCCTCAGGCTCATCACACCCTGGGGAAACAGAAACATGTTGCAGCTCTGTTTTGTAGTGGGAAAGGGGGTCACCAGGTGCCGGGGTGAGGGTGGGAATGGGGGTGGCCCCCCCCTGCTCTGTTTTGTGTCTTGGCCACATAGGCCAGGAGGATAGAGACTATGTCACACCACATTAGATACTCCTGATGCCCCAATCAGGTCCATTTCTGGAAGTGAGGAGAGAAAGTTCTGAACCTTTGGGTGACTCTCTTGTGCCCAGGTAAGGACCCGGCCAGGTAAGAACTCTCAGCCTTGCTTCTGCATGGATGAAAGAAGTCATGGCCAAGGCTTCCAACCCAGGCTTGGGTACCAGGCAGGCACCAGGAACACAAATGCCATGGAAACGCCTCTGACATTAGGGGCAACTCTTTTAACTGCCCCATCCCTCTCTGAGCCCAGCATTCAGAGATATGGACCTCCCTATGGCTTCCCTACGGCCAGATGCCTCTAGGGCCCCCTTAAGCCAGCACCACTGGGCTCCAGAGCCATGTGCTGCCTGGCCTCCTTTGCCCACCCCAATGCCTCAGAGCAGAGCCATGCTGCCATGCTAGCTTACAGTTGCCTGTCCTTACCAGTGAGGACGACCATTAGGGGAAAGACAAAGAATCCTATCACTCTAATTTCCTCTTCTCGTAGTACAACCTTACAGGCAGAAATCAGGTCACCAGCATCCTTGCGACCTCCCCTACTCTGGGTCCGGCGTTAAGAACAGGAAAGTGGGAGCTCACTAAGGCTGAGACCCAAGGCGGGGCTCATACCCACTCTCACGAAGGTAGCACATCTTCCTGGGACCTGATGCTCCAGGGGGTCATGGGCTCCCTAACTTCTGGAAGGACACTCTGCCATTCCAGACTTCGTTGGAGGTAGGGCTTCCCCAACAGGAACTGGCACCTCCCTGGTTCCCCAGTAACTGATGGGATGGAAAGGCTGACATCAGGACAAAGGGAAGGGAGATCAACTGCCGCTCATTCAGGGCCAACTATGTTTCGGCTCCAGGCTAGACCCTGATAGACAGTCACTACTGTAATCCTCTCAGCGACCCTTTGAGGAGGACATGAGTTCACAGAGCAGAGCTGGAAATCAAACCGGGGCTTTCTGACTTCAAAGTCTCCTAAGCCACACCGCCTCCCACACGCCATTGGCCAATAGAGACAACCGGGTCACAGGTCAGGATGTGCTTGCAGGTGAACAGGCCAAGTGGCCATCACAATCAAGTGTGTGAGTTTAAAGAATGGTACGTGTGCTCAGGAGCCCCAGGGTCAGGGGTCAGACCACAGAGTGGGCACCCACCGGTTCCCCAGTCCCTACCCCCTGAGAGGCCGGGGGTGAGACCAGGAGGAAAACGGTGCACTGCTGGCTGTGCTCACCTGCCACCTCCACAATCTGGTGCCGGGCGATGTCGTAGTAAGGGTCATCCCACTTCAGGTGTGTCACGGGTTCCGGGGAGCTGCTTTTGGAGTCATCTGAGGAACACGGCAAAGGCAGAGGGTAATCTGGGGGACTGGAAGTGTTCTCCCCAAGACTTGTGTTCTTTGATCCTCCCCATCTCCACCATAGGATTTGTGCTACCGGTCCCACCCTGGAGCTGGTCTCCCTGCCCTCCTCCTGCACTCCTGGGGTCTTCCTCCGACAGGAAGGGAGTCTCCCCTTCTAAGGCATGTATGGCTGCCTGAGATCCGGCAGCACCCACCTGACTTGGGGAAGTCGGGCATCTCGTCTGAGGGCCAGTTCTTCTCATCAATGGAGGCTAGCTTCAGCTGGTTCAGAGCCTGGCTGGTGTCATCCAAGGTCAGGTCATCCTGCAACTCTGAAAGCGGGTCCATGACCAAGCCTGTCCCTCACAGCTTCGCTCCACAGAACCTGAAGAGAAACCGGGGGTGGGGTTAGCAAGTCAGGGGCACCCTCTTTTCCCCTGTGATTTCTACAGCGAGCCCTCCTGATCTCACTCTTTCCTCCCGCAGTGTCCCCTGTTCCTGTTCCTCAACACTTCGCATCCCTGCCAAGAGCTCCATGTAGCCCTGGGTTCTCCACAGGCATGATGCCAGAAAAGGCAGCTGGGGCAGAGGATGGTGCAGCTCAGGGCGTGCCCTCAGGTCCTCCAGTTGGATAAGGGATGAGCCGTGCCAGGGCCCATGCTGCCCACTGCCTATCTGGTTCAGCAATGCAGTCCCAGCTGCAGAGAGTAGAAGTCTATACCCCGTCCTCAGGGGTCATAGAGCACAGAAGCTTCCTAGGTGCCAGCAGTTAGAGGGTAGAGATGTTGCAAGCATCTACGGAGTACAGGGATGTTCCACATGAAAAGTTATTTGTGGCCTTGTTTATTCCATCCCTCACTTTTGTCCTGGGAACAGGAGATGGCCAGAGACCACAGGGTCCCAGAAAAAAGTCAATGGTCAAGGTGCCCAGCTGGGTTTGCCCCAGGACAGAAACAAGAAATGGGATGGAATCTGCCTGCCAGTCAGAGTGGGCAATCTTCAGGCTCTTGGGGGCTCCCAGGCCCACTCTAAACTGCAGGGAGCTCTGAATGCTAGTTTCAAGGTGGGAAAGGTCAACAGACAGTGCCAAGCATTGGAGAGCACAGATGGGAAAGTGGGAATCCCATGGCATTCAGAGTGTTAAGCTACAGGAGTCAAAAAACAGACCAGCAGTCACAGCAGACTGAGAGGGAGAAGAGCCAGCTCGGAAGCTGGGCTTGCCCAGGTCTAGGTCTGGCAGCAAGGATGTGGCCCCATGAAGCCTGAGAGCAGTACCTTCTGCCCTCGGCCCTAAACGGAGGCCAATCCCCTTCCGTCCCAAACTCACCCTGTGGGTCAGGGAGGGGATTGAATCCACTCAGTCCAACCCCAGAGAAGAGGCTGCTTTTAAGCACACTACATTCCTAGAGCCCAAAAATGACATATATAGTCAGAGAATCAGCAGGGCAGATACAGTCCAGACAAGACCAGGCACAGGGAGGGAGAAGAGGGGGGAACTGCTAGCTAGGATCCAGACCCCAAACACCTCTGGGCTCTAAGGCAACATGACAACCTCCTGCACACATCACGTCACAGCCGAGGACTCTGGCTGGTAAACCCGGCTCCCTGTGCCTAGCAACAACTACCCTGTTACCAGGGCAACCACACTGATTCAGTGGCAAAAGCTGTTCCAAGCTCCTGAGTCAAAGCCAAGCAGCCAAATAGCCAAACAGCCATAAAACAAAAACCAAAATCCAGAAAGTCTTTCTCCTCCTTTCCTCTGGCCTCTTCTCTGCTACACTTATTCACTACTGCTGATTACCACCAAAATAGAAATCCCTTCCATGAGCACAGAGAAAGATGACCCTCTCTTATCTGGGAATGCACTTCTCTCAGTGAGTGCTGCTGTGCCCCACACCCCTGCTCTCCCATTGCCCTTCAAGCCTCCACTGCAGGCAACTCTAAGTCTTGAGGAATCCACTCCTGATTCATCAACAAACTCCTCCCATTCAACCAGATGGCTGTGAGGATTCCCCGAAAGGGGACTCCACTGGGTAACAGGGACAGAACTCAGCACACAGTAACCCCTGTTAGGCCTGAGTCTTCTCTTCATGCCTTCTCTTCTGTCACTGACCAGGCACCAAGCGCTCCATTAACCCTGCCCACAGCTATCCCAGAGAAGTCTTTCTGCACAATAGTGGGTCTTAACTCAAAAAAAAAAAAAAAAAAAAAAAAAAAAAAAAAAAAAAAAAAAAAAACAAAAAAAGGCATGGGATGAGGGATATGGAGAACTGGATTATAGTCCTGCTGGAGCCAATGAGTTGCAAAGATGCTGGGCAAGTCTTTTCCTAACTAGACTTACATCTCCTTATCTATAAAAGCACAGACTCCTTCCAGAAACATAATTCTCCAGTATTCTAAAATACTCACACTGAAGTGAACAACAGGGTTAGAAGGAACAGCTGCGAGCTGAAGTATGTGTGAGGGAAGGAGAGGGACACCTTCTAAAAGGGAGTTGAACTTGAACTCCACCTCTTTTCCAGTAACTGCTCCTCTGTTTTGTCTGTTCTTCCAAAACTGACCCCTCCCCCACCCCATAGCCTCCTTTTCCAGCATAACTAATCACAGTTGTTTCCACCTCCCAGCCAGACTGGCCTCCAACTCACAGCTGCTTTCCCCTGTGAACCCTGAAGTTTAGCTCCCACTCAGTGGGAGGGTGAGGGAAGCTGGCTCAGGGAAATTCTAATATAAAGGGGTGGCCATGAAGTATCCTGGCTGCCTAAGACTCCAGTCACCTACAAGCCCTGTTCCACTCTGTGCAAAATACTCCTTACTCTGAGATTAGTATTTCTCTTCTCCACAGGTAATATCTACTTTTACAAAGATCTTTGAGAATCATTTTAGGCAGAGGTTTTCACCTCTGGACTTCTCTGAAATTCTGACGAAATCTGTGGACTTTTTCCCTAAGAAAAATCAGCACATGCATGAAATCTTCTATGCAATTTTAAGGCCCTCTGAGAATCTAAGTATCCCTGACCTATTCAGCACACAGATGCTGTCATTTGTTGAATGACTGAATGAGTGAATTCGTCTCCTAAATGGAGAAGGGAACCAATATTTGTTGAGAGCCTATATAGTGCTATAAAGTAGACAAATTACCTTTTAACTTCACAACAGCACCATGAGGTTTGCATTACCAGGCCCATTTTACTGCTCGAGGAAAGTCAGGGCCAGAAAAGATAAGCAAACTGTTTAGGCAGGTCATACAGCTGAGTCAAGATTTTAATCTATATCTGTATAAAGTGGTCTCTTGATGCAGGTCAGTCCCTCAACACTTCTTTAAATGACTGTCATTCGTGTGATTCTGAAGGTTCAGAGAGGTGCCATGAAAAAACAAAGTAAAGCCTCTCCCCTAATCTTCACGAAGAACTGAGATAACTTGAAATCGTATTCTCTGGCATTGGGACTGCCCTCCTAGTTGGGGCTCCAAAATTGCGAAAATGCAAATCCCATGATACAACAGCGAGACTTTCGACTACAAATGCATTTGTACAGAGCTTCGTGGTTTACAAAACCCGTAATAGGTGTAATTATCCCATTTCAGAGATTAAGAAATAGAGATGAAAGCGTGGCCTAATTAGTGGCAGGCTGCAATACTTCCCCCAAATTTCTTGCTCTTAGCGCTTCGCCAGTTCGGACCAAAGAGACTTCCCCTTACCGTGGGCTTGCTCGATGACAGGGATCTAACCTAGACTCTGCCCTGGGAAGTGCAGGAGGAAAGCAGCAAAGAAGACAAGTCACCTCGGTGCAGACCCAGGAGGGGGCTGAAACCCGCTGTGGGAAAGCCAGGCCCCATACCACTCCTGCTCCCTTCCTAGGATCCGCTCGAATCATCCCCCTCCTGACCCTATGCCTTAAAGTGACCTGTCTAGTCCCTCCCTTTTCCCCCCCACCACCCAGGAAGACCCCCGCGCTCCGCAGCTCACCGTGGTCGGGCACTGCTCCCTGTGCCACGCCTGTCAAAGCTCGGCAAACATCCGGCTCCGCGGTAGAACGGGAACCGCCCCCTCCGGGGCTCCTCACTCCCCAACCACTTCCGCCACACCTCCAACCCACTTCCGGCTCGCTGCCAGGTCCAAACATGGCTTTCCAGGATCCCCTCCCACTTTCCTGCACGTGCTGGCTTAAATGCCCGCCTGGGAGAGGGACAGCATAAGTGTCCGACCCGTCCCTCCCAAAAGGAGGTGATTGGAACAATTAGTTCCGCTTTCCCTGGAGCTCGAATCCCTAGTGGCCCGCTGGAATCCTGTGGTTCTTATTGTTGTCAGACGGAGTTTTGCCTCGCCGGTATTCCCCACCTCCCGGTTCTGTGCACCAATGAGTCAGACTCTTCGGATTCTCTCCCGACAGGAAATTTGGAAGCCCATGGTTGTTTCCGGGAGGAGCGGAGAAGAAGACGCTCACTTCCGGCGGAAGGAGGCTTTTCTGGAGGGATGGAGGAGGCAGAGGAGCTGCTCTCCGGGGGCGAGAGACTGCAGTGCGGTTAGTGACCTGCGGCGTCTCTGACCCTCGGCCCCGTCCTTAGATGGACCTGCTGTTCCCTGGTCAACTCTCTACCCCCAGGCCCTTTTCCTCCCTAGCCTGGAATCCTCCGGTGCCCTCAGATGTCTCTGGGGTGTTAAGAGTCCTCGAATACCCTCAAACCTCCTAGGGGCTCCGTTAGAGCTCTAACATCCCTCAGACCGCCGAGGCCTAGCTGGACCTGCGGTTTCCCCCCATATCTGTCCCCACCCTCATGACCCTTTGGACTGGCTCCCTTACTGCCTTCCCATTTCCCTGCAGCCCCCGACCCGCGCCTGGGCCCGGAATTAGGATGGATCCCTTCTGGACAAGGCTTTGCTCGAGGCCTCAAAGATTTCCCGCCCGGGCCGACCCGGGCCTTCCTCGCTCTAAAGAGCCTTCCCCGGGGCTTGGCCCTTGGCCCTTCACTCGCCGAGGAACCGTGTTTGGGGGTCTGGTGTGTCGGGGAGCCCCTGCAGCCGGGACTGCTCTGGGGGCCTCTGGAAGAGGAGTCTGTCTCCAAGCAGAAGGAGGAAGGAGTGAAACTACGGCTGGAGGAGGTATTGAAAGATAGGACGTGTCTCCGTGACAGATCCTGCAAGAGGTTCAGCCATTTGTAAACAGCTCTTCAGTTTGTTAGAAGAAGCAGGGCATTTCAAGAGATAGGAGATGGTTATGCCCCTTCTTTCCAGGACTGCCTCTTCCCCTCACTTGCAGTAGTTAAGGAATCAAGGTGCAAAAAGTGCCGAAAGCTGGATAAAATGGCATGCCTCATTTAACTCATTTGTAAAAGTAAAAAATAGCTGTTTCCTTTTTTTCCCCCAACTTTGCAGGGTTATTTGGAGCAATAGATGAAATAGTGTGGGTAAAGGGTTTCATTGCATAGTAAGTCTTAAAAAGTAAAGGAAAGTTGATGTACCTCTTACAACTTTTTATTGTTTGGCACACTCACTGGAAGGCAGTAATGTATTCAACTTGTGATATTCCACATATTGGGAGGGAGGTGAGGGGAGAGTCTTTCGGTCTTTACTGAATGAAAAATCAGACAACACAGTCCTGTAGAGGAAGAATCAGAGACCGTTAACCTTCCAGGGGCTTCATATTAGATCTGTCTCAGGAGAGGTTACATACCCCCACCCCCACCCCCGCCCCGGATTCTGGTTCCCCAAACACATGGGAGAAGGACTCTTATTGGTTTATTTCAGGACGTGTCACTAGGCCCATGGGGAGACGTGTGTGCTTGTGAGCAGAGTTCAGGCTGGATCAGGTAAGTTACAGGAGAGTACGTAGTGAAGATGGTCCTTTGAGGCTTTCTGTTATGGCATGAGTTGGAACCAGAAGCCCACTGTAATTCCCCACCCAGCAATTTTTCTTTTTTTTTTTTTTTTTTTTTTTTTTGCAGTGAGTGTTCCAAAGGCATGGGGTCTTTTAGGACTCAGACTGCCCAGGAGCTGGGGCTTTAGGGAGGGTCACTTGAAGAGGGTCTCCTGAGTTAGCTCTTCCTCTGCTTTGCAGTCTGGTGCAGCAGGGCAGGCTGGAAGGTGAGGGAAACGTAGCCCTGGTGCGGATCAACGAGAAGCTCCATCTGCAGGTGTACCGGGTTGTGCTGCCAGGCTTTGAGTTGCTGCTGTGGCCCCAGCCTCCCTCTGATGGCCTGAGCCCCACCCAGCCCAGGCTAGAAGAAGAGGCAGCCATGGCTGTGGTGACCGAAGTGGACTCCGCTTCACAGCAGGAAGTGGACTCCCCTGGGGAGGATGCAGCAGAACCTTGGACAGGTATGTGTCAGATACAACGCTGGCTTCCGAAATTATCGCCAAATCAACCTTGATATGACAAGGCAAAGCTGTGGCTCAGGGAGGTAAAGGAGAGCATCACAGAGTTTTTAATAGTTTCTCTGAGATGGAAGGGCAAAGCCTGGATATTTATTGAAATTTTGAAGTCTGGTAGATCTTTCAGTGTAGATGGGACAGGGCTTGATCAGATTGAATAAGGATCGTGACATAACGGCTTAGGACTTGTAGATACAAGGCTAGAATTTTCAGTAAAAGGCTCAGAGAGTCTTGGGGTGTGACCTATCATTTGATGCTTTTATCGCAGTGTGATTGGGTCTTTTCCTTAGAATGAATAGTATTGATATTTGCAACTTTTATCTTCCTGAGTACGTTTTCTGGAATAGTAAGGTCATGTCGATGAAGACAGCAAGCTCTATATAAGGTTTCCAATTTCTCATGTTTCTTCTATCTGGGGTGGGTGTAGAGGTTCCTTTATTTTCAGATAAACTAAGGCGAGGAGGTGGTGGCCTAATTCGTCCTAAGTGTGCATCTCCAGAGGGAAAATAGGAGCCCCTAGGAGAGCCTTGTTCTAGGACTATCCAGAGGTTTGGGGCACTGGGGTTCCCAAGAGTGCTTCCCCAGGAGGCACCTAAGACTGAACATGAAGATAAACAGAGCACATGGTTCATGTTCCAGGGAAGAGAGTGGTGTCATTGCTCCTGCTGAAGTTCAGGTTCAGGGGCTGAGTAGGAGGAGACACATATTCTTAGAATTTCCTAGTGACACCACTGCCACCCCCTGCTACAGTTTCTACTAACCCCAGCGCCCCCACTCTTGCCTTGCAGATCCCGGTCACCAGTCACCCCCCAGCATCCAGGCAGAGAATATGGTAAGCCCCGGACCTAAGCCTCAAACCCAGGATCAACTTCCTGAGGAGAGCCAACCACTTGGCCTGCTCCCTCAGGGTGGCAGCATGGATGAGGAGGATCCACCCCAGACACAGATGTCACCTGAACCTCAGAGCAGCTCCACTACCCAGCAGGGCCCAGAGAGTAGTGAGGCCAGTTCCTCGTCTTCTGCCAGGGCCACCCACCTGCATGCTTACCTGGTCAAGAAGTTATGTGGCCCCAGTGAGCAGTGCCCACCCAGAGCAAAGACCTCGGAGTTCAGGGCCCAGCAGGCTGGGGAGCAGCAACAGGCCGGCCTCCCTGCATGCTTGCGGAGCCCTCCTGGCCCAGGAGGAAGCCCCCCAAAACAGAGACGACGATACCGGTGTGGGGAGTGTGGCAAAGCCTTCCTGCAGCTGTGCCACCTGAAGAAGCATGCGTTCGTGCACACAGGCCACAAACCCTTCCTTTGCACTGAGTGTGGCAAGAGCTATAGCTCAGAGGAGAGCTTCAAAGCCCATATGCTGGGCCACCGCGGAGTGCGACCCTTTCCTTGCCCACAATGCGACAAGGCCTACGGCACCCGGCGAGACCTCAAAGAGCACCAGGTGGTACATTCAGGTGCCAGGCCCTTTGCCTGTGACCAGTGTGGCAAGGCCTTTGCCCGCCGGCCCTCCCTGCGACTGCATCGCAAGACCCACCAGGTGCCGGCGGCCCCTGCCCCGTGCCCGTGCCCTGTGTGTGGGCGCCCCCTGGCCAACCAGGGCTCTCTGCGCAACCACATGCGACTCCACACAGGAGAAAAGCCCTTCCTGTGCCCACACTGTGGCAGGGCGTTCCGCCAGCGGGGCACCCTGCGTGGTCACTTGCGGCTGCACACGGGGGAGCGTCCTTACCGCTGCCCGCACTGTGCCGATGCCTTTCCGCAGCTGCCTGAGCTGCGGCGCCATCTTATCTCTCACACCGGGGAGGCCTACTTGTGCCCTGTGTGTGGGAAGGCCCTCCGAGACCCACATACACTGCGTGCTCATGAGCGTCTGCACTCAGGGGAGAGGCCCTTCCCGTGCCCCCAGTGTGGCCGTGCTTACACACTGGCCACCAAGCTGAGGCGCCACCTCAAGTCCCACCTGGCCGACAAGCCCTATCGCTGTCCCACCTGTGGCATGGGCTACACCCTCCCCCAGAGCCTCAAGCGACACCAGCTCAGTCACCAGCCTGGGGCACCCTCCAGCCCACCCAGTGTGCCACCTGCTGCTTCCGAGCCCACCGTGGTACTGGTGCAGACTGAGCCAGAACTGCTAGATACATGCAGCGAACAGGACGTCTCCCCAGCCCGGGACGTCTTCGAGGTCACCATTTCTGGGAGCCAGGAGAAGTGCTTTGTGGTGCCTGAGGAGCCAGGCCCCGCCTCCAGCCTGGTGCTCATTCATAAGGACATGGGCTTTAGTGCCTGGGCAGAAGTGGTGGAGGTGGAGACGGGCACCTGACCCCCTCACCTCCTTCAGCAGAGTTTTACATAAAGCTAGTGTTTTCTGGCTGCCGGGCGCCTGCGTCTTTCTCTTTGGGTTGCCTGACGGAGTCTAGTCTATTCTGAGAAGCAGGTCGGGGATTTCCCTTCCTGTTTATGGACCACCACATTGTTTCCCAAGACCGTAAGGTAAACCTGTTCTAGATTTAAGAGCTTTTTACTGCCTTCCGGTAGAGCATGTTCTACCTCCTTCACCAGGAACTGCTCAGGGTGCTTGTTCTTTAAACACAACGGGAGTGACCCCACCCAGTGAGGTAGTCAGGGAGCTGGCAGCCGGAC